CTGGTTATGGGGTATTTGCCATTGGGCTCAGCAATCAGATGCCATGTGAGATTCCGATAGACTGCGCTTTTAGGAGCACATGTCCGATGCAGCGTGCATGCGGCCGCAAGTTTCAGGGGTTGACATACCGAAGCAAAATAGCTGGTGCCCCCAGCCAAAAGAAGGTCCGTGCTACTTCATTGTTTTTTGGTACGAAGGGCGTTTCCAGGCTCGCCAAGGGAAGGGTCAAAAGTACTGCTCCTGGGTGCTTTCTGTAGTCGTGTGTCTGGGATGACAGGGATGCTACATGCTTTGGGGGGATTGCCGACGTGTGTTTTGTTTTCCTATCTACGGAATGGGTGAGTGGCGGGACTACCAGTTTTAACAGCATGGTAGTGTCAATACCATTCTTGTGGCACATGGTCAGGGTGTGAGGGCTCTTATCAACTGGGGGGAGTGTCTGGTATTTCATCTTCTATTGGACGACTGCGCGTCAAGCAGATGGATATGTGTGCACTCTTGCTCAACCACAGAGACGTGGGGAGCCATGCACTTTTTGTTGTTTTGTCTTCTTTTGACTGGGTAGAGTCGGAGAACGGTTACTTGGTGTTTATTTTGACAGCACGGAGACCAACCCCCTCAGTTAAACTCAACCACACCCTGAGAACAAAGCCAGGTTCTTGCTGTGCACGTTGCTTGCACTCACACTCTGCTGTTAACTGACATTTCGTTAAAACTGACATTTTTTTCTAAATTCACGAAGTGGACTTAGTCAAAATTTCATTGCTCCTTGGGTGAGAAAGTGGTTATCTCACTTTGTCCATCTGATGTACCTCAACGTAAAGTACCGTTAACATACATCCGATGATCAGATCATTGGGAGTTGCCACGACACCCGATGATCTAATCATCCGACGTCATGGAAACAAAAAAGTTGAAAAAACACTAAAAAATGATGTTTTTTGGTACTCTCAATTTTGTGAATTTAGACAAAAATCATTGAAAAATGTCAGTTTTAACAAATTGTCAGTTTGCTGGGGAAGATCTGGACTATCTAGCTTTGCTGGTCAGGCCATCCTGGCTGGTCTGGACAGATCTGCCTAGATGGAGAGCCAGGCAACTGAGGTTCAAAGTGAGGACCATGTCCCACTGGACGAGTTTCAGCCTACCAATCAAAGACCTGTAGCATTCGATACCGGCCGTGGTGAGATCTGGGCCTTGGATTCTTTTGTCATTTTGGGAGATTGTCCCCTTCTATTGTAAAAGAAGTTGATGATTGCATGGAAGAAGTTTGACATCTGGCCATCTGGTATGGTTCTCTGGGGTGTGTTCCTTGCATTCATTCTGTAACAGAAACGGGGCAGCCAGCACTGGTTCCATTCAATCGAGCATTTCTAGCAAAGGAAATTGGGATAGAGGAAGATAAAAATTCACGGCAACTGTGGGTAACTTTTGAGTTTCTAATTCTCTTCTTTAATAGCTTTCGCTCTCTTAACTGTTTTACCATGTTAATGCCCCTTGCGACCCAATAAGCCCCCTGCCTCCTTCCATTCCTCACTCCAGAGCTCTGGATTTCTAGCTTTTCGTCCCAATTTTCTTCTGATTTGGGACGGCTTGACCCGGTTCCCAGCAGTTGCAGCTCTCGACCACTACGTCTGACCCTCTGGCTGTGACAAAAGAAAGTAACTTCTGACCCTTCCCTTCTTTCCCCAATGTCTACTTCACAGAACCATGTGGCAACCACCCACTCTCGAGGCAATGCCTGCGGCATGGAGGACACACCTGAAATTCACCAGTTAGGGAATGACCCATTGGATTTTCAATCTCATTTAGCTGCACCGAACTGGCATGCTGCTCTTGGTGCTTGTGGTTTAAGAATGGAATTTGATGCCTTAGAAATTTAGGATTTTGTACTGACTTTCTTTTTTACCTGGGCTGTTCTTACAGGCCGGCACCCACAAATTTTGTGCCTGAACACACACCAGGCTGCCCAGCCCCAGTGCAGAATAAAACATAAAAAGAGGGAAAAAAATACCTGGGGAAAAAATTATGTTGTGTAGAATTGCAATACAAAGTTACGAACAACTTTTGGCTGAGGGTCACCTCAGAATTTCTCACTGAATTGAAGATAAAAAAGAAAATTGAAAAATGAAACTAATGTGAGGATTGAGCCCTCAAGAAGGGGCCTTGCTATGATGTACATGTTCTGGGCTAAGGCCCCAGCAAGCCTCGTGCCCGCCCTAAGTGAAGGCGGGCCAGCAAATCAACAAGAGCCCTCTGTACAAACATTTCACGAAGTGGGGTCCATACAGTTGCARCACGCCAGTTGGTTGGAGTGCACCGAGTCTCGAATCTCTGCAAATGTGGAGATCCCAGGGCCTCTGAGTTAGTTAGGCCCTGGGCACTTGAACGTGAGGCCGACAATGCATGCTGGGTATAGAGGCCGAAAATGCCAAAGGGAAATCGGCCACTATCTGAATCTGGCCGCAGGCCTTGAYGAGAGAGGCGCAACTGCATCACCCGGGCCCCAACTGCATCGGGCCWGGGTTCAGGCACTGGGGCCCAGTCGCAGGYTGAAGGGAGGCCGCCCACACGCAGCACTGGCATATAGGCAAGYAGGGCGAGTGGGCAGGGATCTTTGGCCAATGCAGGCATTGCCGGCATGCTGCGCGATCGCGAGCTGCTGCGCGGTGTAAAGCTGCGTTGGGCAGAGGGAGGCAGACAGCGCTAATGCGGTGGTGCGCTGTCTGGGCGCAGGGCGCTGGCAGCCATAGCYAGGCTGCATGAGGGCGCAGGGGAGRKGAGGGCGAAGGTGGTTCTTCGGAGGTGAAGGGCGCTGTGTGGGTAACAAGGGAGAGTGTGGGTGAAGAGGACACGTACCTGGTGGAGGTGGAGGTCGGCATTGGTGTTGACATCATCACTCGCTGGTAGTCAAGTTGTCTGGTTGCTTTCATTGCTGTAGTTGTAGGCTAGGCTGTAGAGGTAGATAGGGCGCCTGGCGCCATTCACAAGAGAGAGCTACATTGGGTTATGCTGTTGGTGTTGCCCTGTTGGGCTTGGACATTGACTCACGATTCTTCTGTATCATTCTCAAATGGATGGTTACTCGGTTCCATTGTGCTATCTGCTCTGGCTTTGACTACTTGGACTTCAGTGTGATTTTGCAATCCGGATTTCTGTGCTTCGTCCATATTCATGTTCCTTGCAATTTGGTATCGGAGCTGGTATGATTTGCCACTTACCTTTGGCACGCTGGCGTTATACAGACTTGGTGCGTTGATGATGCTTCTTCGCAGTTGGTTCTTGTGACGTCAGGCCATTGATAGGCGCACGCCCTGGGTAGAGAGGGGTGCGCCGGAAGGCTGAGACGGCAGTGTATGCCGTGGTGACAGGCGGAATGTATGATTGGTGATGAGAGCATGCTGATGTGGCATTAGGCTGAGGTGGCATTGCATTGCGTTGTGGGTGGTACCGAGGCCAAGGACCGGTCATCAAATGCACACTCAGCTCAATTGGTGAGAAATCTGTGGTTGGGGGCAGCTATCTCCAGGTACGTTGTTCCCTTACCTTATCTACTCTCTCAATCTCTTCTTACCGTGAGGAAGTGAGTCCAACTTGAGAGTCCTCTCTTTTGGTGAGGTGTCGTGAGCGCGCTACCTTGAGAGATGACAATCTTTCTGGAAGCATCTGGAAGGAAAAAGGGCGGTGCCTCTGAAGGGCCCTGGTCGAAGCACAAGGTCACGGTCACCATGCCAACCCAATGGGAGTAGGTCACGCATGCGATGGCTGCTGTCCATTTTGGCACTTGCTGCGCTGAATAGAAGTCCTGCCGGGTGTGCCAGCCTTTTATGAGACGCTTACCAGACCCTCTATAAACATTTCTGGTTGGGGACTTGGTTGAATCTGGCTGTGATCGTCGTCCTGACTGCGACATTTAATAATTCCTGAAGAGATGGGGGCGCTCTCAATATTCCTCCTGATCAGCCAGATAAACCGGGTGTAAGGCTCGTTCCGTACGAGGGTAAATAAGAGTGGACTGGCTGGCTTGCTCGGCAACGACTTGGGCACAGGGGTGGGCCGACACACACACGAAGACACCGCTTGCTCAATGATGCTTACCGGTATGTTGGATTGAGGGGAAGGGTAGGTTCTAATTGGTGCTCAACTGGATACACAACCATACCCACCATACATACATCTGCAACATGGTCTTTTGTATTCTTGATTAGTTGGTGGACAGACTGCTAACACCTCACAGACGGACTAGAGCAGGACAGTTGTATACTGCCATAACCAGTTTTGTCTAGTGCTGCTGTAAGTGAAGCAGTCAAAATACATTTAGACTATGTTGACAATCTGTTGTGAATGTTGTAGAATGCCATTTGATCGGTCAAGTAGGGGACCTGCCGGACACAACTATTTTTAGAAAATTAGGTGTCGATCAGACACATGCTGCGGTAGGACTCCAACAGGGGGTTCTAGTGCAGATAATGTTTGCCTAATTCATGAACGGGTCAGACATCGATGAGGAGGCAGTTGACGATGCAAGACTAACACGTTCGAGATCACGTTGGATCCCGTACGTGTACCAGGCCTTACAACCGGAAGACGAAAGACGGCTTCGTGCCGAACGCAAAGCCCGTGCACTAGCAGCAGCTAGGGAAACAGCAAACGCTGCAGCTAGGGAACAGGCTGCAGCAGCAGCCAGGGCAGCAACCATGACTAGCTCAGCTTCATCCTCGGCTGAGTTGTCTGGGACCAATGGGACCCAGTTGGGAATGCCAACAGGGTCCACGGGTACTTCCAGTTCGTTAGGTTCCTGGCAGTCTACAAGTCAAGTGGCGGGCGCGCAGTTCAGCCCGTTGACTCCTCGCGAAAGGGAGCTCAGGGAGCTCCAGTAGGTCGAAAGGAAACGTGAACAGTTAGAGAGGGACCTGAAGAAAGCAGCCGATAGAGAAAGAGAGATTAAAAATAGAACAGCCAGGCATGATACTTTAGAGGCTGACAAAGCGGAGTTAGAGGGCTTGGATGAGTCAGCATTGCCTGACCAAATGAAAGTACTGAAGAAGAATATGTTGTCGTTGCATGCGCACGTGGACAGCAGATTAGACTTCATGCAGAGCACTCTTGACCAGATCCTGGATGTTCTGACAAGGCCAGGATTTAGGCCACCAGCACAGTCGCCGTTGCCGTTAACGGCGATGTCAGGCCCCTTTCCAGTTCAAGCTAGCACACAACCAAGTGGCACGTCTGCAGCAGCTGCACAGACTGTTGCGTCTTCTTCTTCGGGTCCAGCGGTGGGAGCTACACCACCTCAACAACCTGTTCCTCAACAGGGACAGCCGCAAGGTCAGTGGTATCCTAGGACCCCAATGAAACTGCCTCTTGCCTTCTCAGGCGAGAGGAAGGACGAAGAACTCATCACTTGGTTGAGAACAATCCCGGTTTGGGTGAAGAAGAAGAGGACCTTGCCAGAGGAGGAGGTGATTACTGTTGCATCTTACCTTGAGGGTGAGGCAGCCAAATGGCTAGATGGTATAGTTTCAAAGGTCGGGTATGGACGACGTATGGCGGACTGGGCTCAGTCTATTACCTTGGTAGAAGCTCGCTGGCACAATCCTCAACAGACACAAATAGTCACTGATGCGATCAACAGACTAGACCAACGAAAGTATAAGTCAGTCAGAGAGCTCACGACTACCATAGAGAGCCTTATCGTCGTTCCAGGCATTATGACTACATTTGTTAGATGTCTTCCAGAGAACCTCAGGAACTTGCTGGCCAGCGAGGCACGCCTTGAGTATCACTCCTTTGAGACGTTGTCTAGGAAAGCCTTAGATTTGGAGGCCACTCTAGGAAACGCTCAACCTTCTCAGAGTGATGCGAAGAAGAAGAAGAGTCCCCAGGAATGGAAGAAGAAGGGGGCCAAGTTGATGATGGTTGAGTCCGATGGGACTCAAACGGAGATCGACGAGCTCACATACCTGGTGGACTATACAGAGTACGACGGCGACGAGACCGCTGAGGGTAGCACCCTCGCCGCAATAGTAAAGGCTAAGGCAGGTGGCCGAGGGAAGGGCCAACCAAAGAGTCAAGGGAAGGCCGCCTCCAATCAAACCAAAGTGGCTGATTGGGTCAAGGCAGGTCTTGATCAAGACGTGTGGCGGGACCGCCGAGTGCGTGGCGCTTGTATAAACTGTGGTGAATGCGGACACACCCAGTACAAGTGTCAGAACGCAAAGGTCACGCAGAAGATACCTCCTAAGATGGGAGCATCTTCTTCCCAGGCTTCTAGCTCGGGAAACATGTGAGGCCGGTGGAAGTTTTAGCTGCTTCTACTCAAGTTGAAGTGGGTATGATACCCTCCTCACTTCATGAGCAGGCCAAAGCTAATGACTCTTTAGTCACCCCGCAGACACACCTAGACCAAACTATGCTCTGTACGTTACATGTGTCTGAAGCCTTCGAAGATCTGGAAAGCGAGTGGTCAAACAAGGACCCTCGCGAGTCTTGGGTGGCGCTAAGGAAAGGTCCTAGAGGGGAACATTTCGTGGTGGAAGTCGATGTAGGAGGCCGCAAATGTGGTGCCTTCATAGACATTGGCTCCACGCGGAATTACATAAGTCGCGACTGTTTGGAAAGGCTGCACCTACAGGAGCGGGTACGGCACCTTAGTAGACCTGTAGCATATACTTTGGCCAACAAGGAGCGCATGATAGTAACAGACTATATCAAGGACGTAGTCTGTACCTTCTCCTATGGAGGAGGAGAACTTAATCATAAGATTTTGTTCTTGGTTAGCGACGACTTACCATTCGACATGTTGTTAGGCATGTACTACCTTGAGGTTGCTAAGCCCCAGTTCGACTGGGATATGAAGGGGCTCAAACGTAAGTTGCCCGATGGCAGAACTGTCAGATTGACTAAGTTCAAAGCCAGTAGCATTATAGATACCTATGGTTGCTTGTGTGCATCATCGTTCTACAATTACTATAAGCAAAACCAAGAGGAGGGTATGTACCTAGTGTATGTCTCTGAGAAAGGGGAGGCCGTTAAAACACCCGCAGAGATAGAACACGTCGTTGCGAAGTTCCCTGATCTGTTCGAGGAGCCTACGGGGGTCGTAGAAAGGGAAGTTGTTCATGCTATAGAAATCATCCTAGGGAGTAAGACCCCAAAGGGGAGGATCTATAGGATGGCTCCTGCCGAGTTAGATGAACTCCGGCGACAACTGAAAGAGCTGACAAAGAAGGGATGGATTCGGCCTAGTACTTCCCCTTACGGATCTCCCGTGCTATTCGTACCAAAGAAGGGGGGTACATTGAGGATGTGCATTGACAATAGAGGCCTCAATGCCATCACTGTGAAGAACGCAGAGCCTCTACCTCGCATAGACGACCTATTGGATAGGGTGCAGAGATGCAAGTACTATAGCAAAATAGACTTGAAATCCGGCTATCATTAGATCGCTATAAGACCTGAGGACCAACACAAGACAGCTTTTCAGACTCGTTATGGTCTGTATGAGTTTGTAGTGATGCCCTTTGGCCTTTGTAACGCCCCGGGACCATTCCAGCACGCTATGAATCGGATCTTCCATGACCATTTAGATAAGTTTGTCGTGGTATACATTGACGACATTCTGATCTTTAGTAAGTCTGCCGAGGAGCACACACAGCACGTTGAGACTGTACTTTCACTCCTGCGACAGCACAAGTATAAGGTCAACCTAGAGAAGTGTGAGTTTGGTCGCACTAAGATACTATACTTGGGTCATGAAGTATCCGCGGAAGGGATTAGGCCGGAGGATGCGAAGGTGGCTAGCATTCGAGACTGGCCACGACCTCAGACTGTCACTGAGGTCAGATCTTTCTTAGGAATGTGCGGCTACTATAGGAACTTCGTAAAGAACTATTCTANCTGGCCACGACCTCAGACTGTCACTGAGGTCAGATCTTTCTTAGGAATGTGCGGCTACTATAGGAACTTCGTAAAGAACTATTCTACAGTCGCCTCTCCTTTGACAGATCTAACTCGACTTGACACGCCGTGGGACTGGAGTGATGAGTGCGAGGGTGCTTTCAAGCGATTGAAGCATGCACTCATGAATCATGAAGTTCTCATGGTTCCCGATCCTAAGAAGCCATTCATAGTGACCACTGACGCAAGCCAATACGACATTGGCGCAGTGCTGGCTCAACAGGATGGGAAAAAGTTGAGACCGATTGAGTACATGAGCAAGAAGATGCCATCGAAGACACTGGCGAAGTCCACCTATGAAAGGGAACTCTATGCTCTATATAAAGCACTTGTCCATTGGAGACACTTCCTTTTGGGAAGGTTCTTCTACTTGAGGACTGATCATCGAACCCTCAAATGGATCAAGACTCAACCGGCTCTTTCTGACGCACTCAAGCGATGGATTGAGGTCATATATCAATACGACTTCAAGCTTGAGTATCTGAAGGGAGAGTACAACAAGGTTGCAGATGTGCTATCATGTAGGGCAGACTACCTAGGTGCGCTAGTTTCTGACTTTGGTGTATCTGATGAAGTAAATCAATCGTTGGTGGGAGCCTATCAGGAAGACCCTGTCGCGATGGACATCATTCGCAAACTTCAGGCAAAAGACAAGGTCACAGAGAGTGAGTTTGTAATGGTGGACGGGCTTGTCTATCTTGATAAGGCCGGAATAAAAAGGTTAGTAATTCCATCTAGTGAACGTTTGCGTAGTTTGTTTTTAGGAGAATGCCATGACGCAACCGGACACTTTGGCTACAAGAAGACAAGTGCTAATCTAGTACAGCGATTTTGGTGGCCTGGAATGTTAGATGACGCCAAAAAGTACGTAGAGACCTGTCAGGTCTGTCAGTGGGACAAGCCGCGAACTCAAGCACCGCTTGGGTTGTTAAAACCTTTACCTATTCCCGCTGGTCCAGGACAGAGTGTCTCCATGGATTTCATGGACACCCTAGTGACCAGCAAGAGTGGCAAGAGGCACATATTCGTCATCATCGATCGATTCACCAAATACGCTAGACTAGTTGCAATGCCAGAGACCGCAAGGACTGACCATGTCATCAAGTTGTTCAAGGATAACTGGGTGCGTGACTTTGGTTTACCAAAGACCATCGTTAGTGACAGAGATGTCCGCTTCACAAGTGAGCTGTGGAAGAAGACTGCTGAACAGATGGGCAGTCAACTTCAGATGACTTCAGGGAATCATCCCGAAGCCAACGGACAAGCTGAACAAATGAACAAAGTTGTACAACACTTGCTGAGGCATTACATCAAGCCCAACCAGGATGACTGGGATGAGCAGTTGCCTCTCATCGCCAGCCTGTACAACAATGTTGTACACAGCAGTACCGACGTTAGTCCTAATTAGCTGCACTTGGGATGGAAGCCTAAATCAGCCCTAGGCTTCCTCCTACCCGAAAACCGAACCGCTGTAACTCCAGACACACTCGAGTATGGTGTGCAGTATGAGAAATTGTTGCAAGAAGTTGTCGAGCATATGAAGAAAGCTCAGCAAGCAATGATTGCTTCAAAGAATCAACATCGTAGACAGTCCTCATTTCAGGTAGGGGAACGTGTTTGGGTCAAGGCTAGTGAGCTAGGACACGAATTCAGAATCTCTCGTAAACTAAGGCCTTAGTATTTTGGTCCTTGGGAAGTCCTGGATATAGTGGGGGATGAGATGGATGGTCCCACATATGTCATCCGTGTCCCTGGTCACCTACGCACTTGCCCTGTCTTTCATGCCTCAAAGCTTGCACCTTTCGCTGAGACGGATCAATTCCCTTCAAGGAGATCGATGCTGCCCCCAACCATGGATGGTCAAGTAGACATCGACGATATTGTGGATCACAGGGACATGCCTGTTCCAAAGCTGCTAGGCCGAGGAAGACCTCCCAAGCCCAAGAGAGAGTACCGCGTTCGATTCAGGCATCATACGGATCCAAAAGAAGATCGTTGGTTTACCAGAGAGGAACTGATTGAGACAGCTCCTCAAGTGGTGGCAGAATACGAGAGAAAGCTGAAAGGGAAGGCACCTACGAAGTAAGCATCTCAGCGGACTTTCGAAGCTAAGGGGGATGGAATGTGAGGATTGAGCCTTCAAGAAGGGGCCTTGCCATGATGTACATGTTCTAGGCTAAGGCCTCAGCAAGCCTCGTGCCCGCCCTAAGTGAAGGCGGGCCAGCAAATCAACAAGAGCCCTCTGTACAAACATTTCACGAAGTGGGGTCCATACAGTTGCAACACGCCAGTTGGTTGGAGTGCACCGAGTCTCGAATCTCTGCAAATGTGGAGATCCCAGGGCCTCTGAGTTAGTTAGGCCCTGGGCACTTGAACGTGAGGCCGACAATGCATGCTGGGTATAGAGGCCGAAAATGCCAAAGGGAAATCGGCCACTATCTGAATCTGGCCGCAGGCCTTGAYGAGAGAGGCGCAACTGCATCACCCGGGCCCCAACTGCATCGGGCCWGGGTTCAGGCACTGGGGCCCAGTCGCAGGYTGAAGGGAGGCCGCCCACACGCAGCACTGGCATATAGGCAAGYAGGGCGAGTGGGCAGGGATCTTTGGCCAATGCAGGCATTGCCGGCATGCTGCGCGATCGCGAGCTGCTGCGCGGTGTAAAGCTGCGTTGGGCAGAGGGAGGCAGACAGCGCTAATGCGGTGGTGCGCTGTCTGGGCGCAGGGCGCTGGCAGCCATAGCYAGGCTGCATGAGGGCGCAGGGGAGRKGAGGGCGAAGGTGGTTCTTCGGAGGTGAAGGGCGCTGTGTGGGTAACAAGGGAGAGTGTGGGTGAAGAGGACACGTACCTGGTGGAGGTGGAGGTCGGCATTGGTGTTGACATCATCACTCGCTGGTAGTCAAGTTGTCTGGTTGCTTTCATTGCTGTAGTTGTAGGCTAGGCTGTAGAGGTAGATAGGGCGCCTGGCGCCATTCACAAGAGAGAGCTACATTGGGTTATGCTGTTGGTGTTGCCCTGTTGGGCTTGGACATTGACTCACGATTCTTCTGTATCATTCTCAAATGGATGGTTACTCGGTTCCATTGTGCTATATGCTCTGGCTTTGACTACTTGGACTTTAGTGTGATTTTGCAATCCGGATTTCTGTGCTTCGTCCATATTCATGTTCCTTGCACTAAGGCACCGAGCACCAAAAAAAAAAACCTTTATGTGACGAGGCAGAGGCAGAGCAGTGAGGCTGGGAGAGAGAGGGAGAGTGAGAGCACACACACACGCTCACTCAACTCGACGCAGACTTGACACGACTCAACGGACACAGACACAAAGTGGCAAAGTCGCAAAATCACAGTCTTGAATTCCCGAACACATTGTCAAAGCAAAGTCACACTGAACACAAGCACTGAGGCTGAAAAGTCGCGAAATCGCAGTCTTGAATTCCCGAACACAACATCAAAGCAAAGTCACACTGAACACAAGCACTGATGCTGAAAACTGGTTGCCTGTACTGGGCTTGAGTCCGGTCTTAAGTACCGGACTCAGGTACGGTCCTGAGGGCGAAATGCCTCAGGGCCGGTACTGAAAATCGAAAGTCTGAGAGTGGGCGCCAGAATGTTGGATGGCGCCAAGTGTCCGAAATCCAAAAGTCATAAAAGAGGGATTTTGAAAATGGGCGCCAGAATGCAGATGGCGCCAACTGTCTGAAATCAGAAAAGCAAAAAGAAATGAAGAAAAAAAAAAGAATAAATACTGCAAGCTGGAGGGTGGTAAGCCGCAGACCAGGGATCGAGCCCTGGCGGAGTCCGTAACACCATTCCCTCCCTCTAGAAGGCAAGGTCCTGGCTGCCAAAAGTCATGAAAATAATGCTGAGTCCTGTGAAGGATGGGAGGGGGTCGATCACTGGGAAGCAGGAAGAAAAAGGAGAGGGGTATAATGTAGGTAACAAGGGCTGGGGGAGAGAGAGTTTTCCTACTGATGAGCTACGGGGTATGCGTACTGATGGACTACTGAGCGGGAACAGAGTTTGCCTACTAATGAACCACAGGGTTAGGAACTTCAGGGGAACAGGGTTGTCCTACCGATGGACGACAGGGTTAGGATCTGAGGGGGGAACAGGGTTGTCGTAAGGATGAACTATTAGGCAAAAGGGTTCTGTGAGCAAAAATAAAGAAAGGAAAATTATTTTGCAGTGTTCGGGGGTTGGGGTTGCTGAGGATCTCGAGGTGAATGGGGTTGGGGGACAAATCGCAGGTTCTGCAAAATGGTCTGGCTGACAGTCTTGAAGCAGGTCTTGAAGTAAGTCCAGGTACAAAATGCTGATGATAAACCAGTCTTTCAAAAGGCTTGCAAAGTGTAGTAGCGAGGGTTCCAGCTTGAAAGAAGTAGTGTAGCCGTCCAATAGATGACGGTCCAAGTGTCAGGGTGCGTCCGGTACATGATCCTGATGATGAAGTCTGATCCGGATAGCAGATCGCAGACTGATCCTGATGCCCATGTCAAGAGTGCTGCTCCAGAAGTCTGCGAGTCCAGGTGCCCGGCAATGGGACAGCATGGGGGCCAAACAACTGTTTAATCTCCTCGAGCTGCGCGGCAGCAGGCCATCGTCCTCGTGCGCTTGCCATTAGATCCTTTATTGCCGGCGATGCACAGGAGTCACAGGTAAGGCTTGGACAAGAGAGACAGGATGTGGCAGAGGACAGATTGGGGAATGAGACGGAGGCAAGAGCGGATCAGATAGGGAGATATCAAGGGGCAGGGGTGTTGCTGGGTGCAGGGGGTGTGTGTAGAGCAATGAGGCAGGGTGTATGCAGGGTATATGGGTGTTATACATAGTATATAGCTAGGAACGGGGTGAGCACGTCATAGGCACGAACAAGGTTCATGGTGTTCTAGAGATTATCAAGGGGTTCCCATGTAGATTCTTCATCTGGGTATCCAGTCCATTTGACTGTGTATTCAGTGGTTCCGGGTGATTGGATACTTGAGTTGTTCTTTGTCCTATGATATAGATTCTACCACGAATTCTAGACTTGTAGCGGACCTCTGGTTGGCCTGTGAGACCAGCCCCTTGGCCTGTTCTCACAGGCCTGTGTTGTATTCGGGGTAGTCCAGTCCAGGCCGGTACCTCTGTTGGTACCAGCCAGTCCAGTCCAGTCCAGTCAGTCCGCTGGGGTATACCCCAACCAGAGTCTGTATTTCGGATCATTCTCGCACATTTGGAGTACGTGCGTTGGAGTCCGCGTGGGAGCTGCGCTGTGCCATCTTGCTCCACCCTCATCCTCCATCTCCATCTCTATCCCAGGCGGAGCACCTCACCTGGTGGGTCTGCGACACTGTTATCAGAGCGGGAACGTTCCCCGCTGCCACCCACCACACCGCATAGCAGGAAACACAGCAAATCCGACAGAGGGATTTTTGGGTGTTTTTCGGGCGGTTTTCGACAAAAAACAGCGAAAAAAAAGGTCAAAAAAAGGTGCAGCTGCAAGGAGTGCCACGTGGTGAGAAAAGACAAGCGGCGTCATGGCACGAGCGCTTAAGGCCAAGGCCACCGCACACGCACACGCCACATGCCCACTCTGCCCCGCTCCCGAATTTACTTATTAAGATCCGGGATGCACGCTGCTGCCAGGGTTTGAACCTGGGCAGCCGTTGGCTATGCACGTGCATAGCCACCTCTATAACACACTAGCCACAGTGTGTGCATGGCCTCACTGCCGGCGTCGAGCACCGGCCAGCACAACAGCAGCGGGCAGACAACTATTTGCCCCCCCCCGCCCCCCAGCGGTGGGGAGACACCGTGGCTGCTGCTGCCTGTGCCCGTGGCCATCTGCAGTACCACGTGAAGACCCCCTGATCAGGGGCTGCTCCACAATGGTGAGGGTCTGCTCACACAGCACACCCTGGATCTGCAGTGCTGCTGCTAGGGGCTGATCAAGATCTCAACCCCCTCCCTCCTCCAGTTCGCTTGCTGCAGCGAAGGTTAAGACCCTCTTGGTCTTGGTATACCTTGTGCCCTTGGACACCAAGGGCCAGGTATCACCTCCGTCTTCCCTCTCCTTATTAACCCACTTTCTCTACCTTTTCTCTCTTCCCTTATTCACCCCCTCTACTTCTTCCTCTTCTACCTC